GGGGGAGTTGGGTGGGGAGGTGGAGGGAGAATGAGGGTCAGCTGACAGGGAGAAGTTACAGTTTCCTCAAGTCTGGTACCCAACTATTTGGAAAACAAGGAAAAGGGGTAAAGCTCATAATTTCCTGATTCCTCCTCTAGCTCAGAAGTCTTATGGAAATAGCATCTACGATCATGGATTGTTGACTGTGAATGCTATGAATAAGGAGTTTGTATGGGACTGAAGTGTGAAATTTCCCATTATCTTATAATTCCATTTGTTGACAAACTTTTGGAAACCCCTCGTGTGTGTATATACACTTGTTGGTTGATCTATACATGTGTGAATACATATATACATTTATATACATGTATATACATATAGTTATATGTATACTCATATATATGCTGTATACTCATATATATGCTATACACACATTTTTTTAATAGGAGCAAACACTTAAAAAAAAGGTATCACATTGAGGCAAGTCAACCCCACAGAAGAGACATTTGTATTAGCTGAAGTATGCAGAGGTAGAAAATTGCCTATGGGCCTCACTGTGAGGTGCCTGAGGCTAAAGATAAGAAAACCCTTTAAGAGGGACGCATAGCTTGAGAAGGGACAGACTGCTCAGAGAAGATGTTCTGGATCTTTATGTTCTGGATGCTATAGCATCACTGGAGCAAGGGACCTGCAGGAGAAAGCTCCAGACGTCCCGCCTTTGGTGGGACAGTCCCGATTTTTGGCATTTTTAAAAAGTCCCGATTTTTGGAAAGAATGCACGACAAGCTAGGGAACGGCGGGAGAACAGGAAGTTAATATACGGTTTTCGGCTGCCATGCGGCTATTTCACCTGGATATGAGTTTCATATTATTTTTGTTAATTTTATAATGTTAAACTTTAATAATAGCAAATAATTGTTGAGAACTGATTATTGAGAACTGCTTATCAAAGTTTGCATTGTTGATCAGTTGTTAGAATTCGACCACCATTGTTTAGACTTAATAAACAAAGGCATTTTTTGGCATTGGCAACACGAAAACATTTTGTAACTGTCTCTCAGACGATACACATCGTACGTACTGCGTGCTAGTGCTAGTCAAACAAGTGATGTCAACAAATCAGCTATTCAGATAATTTAGGTAAGTTATTTATTTATTTCATAAATACATAAATTTTCTTGGATTTAGCAGACAGTACTCATATTATTTATATTTTATAGTGGCGGCAAAATGATATAGACCAAATTTTTAATCAAGAACACCCCCCAGCCCCCCACCCACGGTCAATGGTGTCCCGCTTTACCAGTGTTAAAATCTGGTCACCTTACCATAGAGAGACTTACAAACAGATGGAGCAAGAGTCAGCTGCAACCTGGATGGAGGCCCCAATGGCTGACTATGGCCTTGCACGTCAGACTGCGCCTGACGGGTGGACCACCCACTTCAAAGCTGCTTCCATCCCAGAATTCCCTGTGGAAAACCTCTCATCTGTTTAGATATTACTAAGATGGTTGGGCTTCCCATATTATTTGAATTTATATCCTATCTCTTTATAATCATTTTAACTTTAATGGGGATGATGGCCTAGCAACCCATGAAGAGATTCTATCTTGTCCTGTAGGGTCATTATAAATTGGCATCAACTCAATGGCAATGGCTTGTGTTTGGGGGGTTAAGTAGCAAAAGTCTGCTAAAATAAAAAATCCGACCTGCCTCTTAAGTTTTAAGAAGGTAAATTCTTTGTGGAGTTAAATTTATAAGACCCTAATTAGGCCATCTAGCTGAGAAGCAACAAAGCCCACATAGAAAAAGCACCACAGCCTGTATGATTACCCGGTGCCGAAGGGAGCAGTTATCAGGCATCAAAGAACAAAAAATCATATCATTGTGTGCTCCCCTCCCCAATATGATCACTGAAGACAAATGTGTGTATAAGCAAATGTGGTGAAGAGAGCTGATGGTGCCCGGTTATCAAAAGATATAGTGTCTAGGGTCTTAAAGGCTTGAAGGTAAACAAGCAGCCATCTAGCTGAGAAGCAACAAAGCCCACATAGAAGAAGCACACCAGTCTGTGTGACCACGAGGTGTCTAAGGGATGAGGTATCAGGCATCAAAGAACAAAAAAACATATCAGTGTAAATGAGGTGGGGTGGGGACCCAAAGCCATCTGTAGGAAACCGGACATCCCCTTATGGAAGGGTCTCAGGGAGGAGACGAGCCAGTCAGGGTGCAGTATAGCAACGATGAAACATACGACTTTCCTCTAGTTCCTAAATGCTTCCCACACCCACCCACTATCATGATCCCAATTCTACCTTACAAATCTGGCTAGACCAGAGGATGTACACTGGTACAGATAGGAACTGGAAACACAGGGAATCCAGGACAGATGATCCCTTCAGGACCAGTGGTGAGAGTGGCAATACCGGGAGGGTAGAGGGTGGGGTAGAGAAGGGGAACTAATTACAAGGATCTACATATAACCTCCTCCCTGGGGGACGGACAACAGAAAAGCGGGTGAAGGGAGACATCAGACAGTGTAACATATGACAAAATAATAATAAATTATCAAGGGTTCATGAGGGACGGGGAAAGGGGAGGGAGGGGGGAAATGAGGATCTGATGCCTGGGGCTTAGGTGGAGAGTAAATGTTTTGAGAATGATGAGGGTAACAAATGTACAAATGTGCTTTATACAATTGATGTATGTATGGATTGTGATAAGAGTTGAATGAGTCCCCAATAAAATGATTTTTTTTTTTCAAAAAAGACCCTAATTAGAGGCAGGTAGGAATATATCAGTCCGCAATGATTCTGGTTTGAGGAATTCTCTGCTTTATTCCTCCCCAACCCAACCAAGATTAGCAAAGTTTGGGCTAAGGAGGGACCACAGTCCCAGACATTTGGGTCCAGGACAACTCAGGAGAGGCCCAGGGACGCTCTCTATAGCTCAGAAGGCAAGAAATGTCTTCACAAAGCCGTGTCCTCAGCTTGGGCCTGGGGACCAAAGAGCTGCTCAGCGATGACCTTGCCATCGTACTTGGGCAGTGAGCCCCCAAAGTCAGCAGGCAGGATGTCCTCATCAATCTCCTGGAAGAAGCCAGAAAGGTCATCTCCGTGGACAAAGACCTGCAAGGAGGCAGGAGAGAAAGCTGAGGAAGAGGGGCCACAGCAGCAGCCATCCCTGCCTGGGGACGTCCTTCTGCATGGGGTTCTATGGGGCATCGTTGCGTGGCCCTCTCTTACTTAGGAGTGTGCTACAGAACCTGAGTGGAGCCCAGGGACTCTCTTCCCCATCCCCACCCTCGCCCCCTTTGCTTCCCGAACCCATTCTTGCAGCCCCCTATTCACGCACTGAGTGAGTGAGCCGCTCACTGAACACCTCCCAGAGGGCAGGCCCGCACTCACCCTCTCGAGCAGCTTGCTCTTCAAGAAGGGCTTGACCACATTATAGGTTGTGGTGAAGTACCACGGCTGGTGGATGAAGTGGATGGCTTTGAAGCGGGCTGGGAAGGAGTCCTGCAGTGACAGAGGCCCCCAGGTCCTCAAAGGTGCCCACAGTGTACCCCTACACCCTCATCCCTTGGCACTGCCTTTCCCAGCCCCCCTAGTAGCCACAGAAGGGACTTGGCCAATGGCTCCATCCCCTGACCCACCAGAAGGGGGCTCTGGTTTCATGGATACTCTCCGGACTGTAAGGAATTCTGAGAAGCCATGGACCCCAGCCGTCTGGCTGATGGCACCAGCATCCTTGAAGCAGGGGAAGTAACGAAACAAACTGACAGCTTTGCTCGCCTTTGGGGTCATCGGGTCTTTCCCAAACGCACTTGTAGATTTAAAGAGCAACGGTCACTCCAAGACAAAGCCCAGCAGGTCAGGCAAGAAGCAGGAGTGGACATAGTAACCCAGGAAGGCAGTGGGCTGTGTGATGCTGCCCTGTGGGGGCTGCCGTCAGTGACATGACACAAAATGAGTATGACTTGTTCAGTGGGAAAAGGCTTGTTCTGTAAGCCTTCACTCAATGCCCATCGGGTTAAAACGCGAGATGCTGCTACTGCTCTTGGGTGCTGTGGAGTCGGTTCAGGTTCACGGCAACCCTGCGTACAACAGAAGGAAATGCTTGCTGCCTGCTCCTGTGCCAGCCTCAGAGCCGCTGTGATATGGGAGCCTTCTTGGTGCAGCCCCTGGGTGGATTCGTCTTGTCGATGGCCTCCTCTTTTCCACTGCCCCGCTCCTTGGCCATGCATGATGTCCTTAATAAAGATACTAGCACCTAAGAAAAAGAGCTGGAGCAGGGCAGCATGGCACACACAGTGCTGAGTGACCTGAGAAGCCATTGATTTTCTGAACCTCTGTTTCCAGGTTTGCAAAAGGAAGGAGAGGAGTAAGGAAGGATGACTCTCAAAGAGTAAATGAAATGACTCGTGTAATTACGAGGGGCCTTCAAAAAGTTCATAAAAGGAGTCATTGTGGTAGTTACATAATGTTGTCCACTTGAGACTATGCAGAGTGAAGGGGTGGAGTTTAGCCTGTCAATCAGGTCGCAGCTTAATGACCTCATTTGGAGGTGCAAAGGAGATGAATAGCTCGCTGGAGGTGGGGCACAGGCACACTGTCTGTAAGACATTCCTGTTGGCAAGCCACGTGGAGCTAGGCTGATGGCAGCCAGAGCCTTGGAGCTGGAGGATCCACATGGAGACCCACGCCAGCACCAAGATGCTTCCACCACCACTGGAGCCACAAGATCTTCCGCCCACTGACCTGTGCTCTTCCTGCACTCAGCATCATTGCATGTGTTGTGTGAGTCTGAAGAGGAATTTACAGACTGGGGACTGCACATGTAGGCTAATGTCGGACTTACGGACTTGATCTGGACTGGGCTGGGATGTTTTCTTAATGTACAATTACTCTTTATCTAAAGCTCTTTCCTATACACATATGAGTGTCCATGAATTTGTTTCTCTGGTCAACTCGGGCTAACACATTGCCTTTTCATTCCATTTTCCCGAGGGTTTTTGGAGGCCCCTCAGACTTGGCCAGTGGTCAACCATCACAGAAGGCTGTGTAGTTAGGAGTATGGTTGTTCTTGCTCTTTCCTGGCTCCAGGGGGCTGTCTTTCTAGGTCCCATCTAACACCGTGAAACCAAACCAGAAAACCTCTCCCCACCTGGAAGAGGCCTCACCTGGAGCATGTCCACCATCTTCCTGAGATCCGAAGCTCGGAGCCCAGCAGCCTGCTGCATGGTAAAGCCCTTGAAGTTCTCAACAATGCAGAATCCATTAATTTGGGTTTCCTCATTCTCCAGTAGCTTCTCCAAGATGAAGCAGTAAGCCTGCAAGATCTTGACAAGAGTGAGGAGCCGGTAAGAGGCAGCGACGGTGACCGTGAAGGCTCGGACACCTGTGCGGAGAGCTCCCAGGTGTGGCATTGACAGAAGGCAGTTTGTCACAGGCTTCGAGCTGCGAGTGTACCCCAACAAAATACCTTGCATGTCATGTCCATAGTTAGATATGGATTATCTATTGGACTGAGTATTGCAGTACTCTCCCAACCGTGGAAACAACCTACATGCGCACCAAAATGGATTGATTAAACCAGGGTAGGGGGTCCCTGGGAGTACCAATGGCTACTGTGCTCAGTGAGAGATGGGAGGTTCATGCACCCCCACAGGGGCCTCAGAAGAAAGACGTGGTGGTGTACTTCCCAAGAAAGCTAATACTGACAACCCAACGGGGCACAGTTCCACTCTGACATACATGCAGTCACCGTGAGCAGGGTCACAACTGATTGGTTGACTGGTTAATTTATGATACACATAGGCTGTGGAATATTCTTAGCTGTTAAAAAACTATATAGACTATGATAAGGAAAATATTCCTGCTGCATTAATATATTTTAAAACATTTCAAAAGCATTTGTAGGGCCTGATCTCATTTTTACATATGAATATTTATGTCTGGGGAAAGATGGGGAAATGTCTATGGCTAGTGTACCTGGGTGGTAGAAATATGGTTAGATAATTTTAAGTTTGTGGACTTTGAGGGAGGATAGTTCTTAAAGTGGGTAGGTATCACTTTTATAGTAGGAAAAACCATCTATATTTTAAAATCTTTTCCTTAACATATGTGTCTCAGCCCTAAAAGTCAGCATCTTATTGAATAGCCAATGCTAGCAACATTCTTAATAATGTCAGAACTAAAATCAGGGTACTCACTGTCTCTATCACCCGTTAACTTCATTTGGCTGAAAATATCAGCTAATTAAAATATACATGTTTCTTTAAAAACAAACTCCCTGCAGATTCCGCCCACACCTCAATAGTGGTCTGAGTGGCTTAAAAGAAAGAGAAGGAAAAGTAAAATTGAAATGGATTCTTCAGTGCCAAACGAGATTATCTTAAAAATATTTTTTAATTGGACATACAAACTAGAAAAGAAGAAGAAAAACAATGGTCTCTTTGCCTTTTAAATTATATCACGGAACCCAAAAGAATTAACTATAAAGCTAACAGAAATAATGAGATAATTCAGCACAGTTGCAAAATCACTAGACAAAACCAGTCATCTCTGTGTACACAAATAATAACCAAGAACCAATTTTCAGATAAAATGAAAGAAAAAGTCTCACTGATACAACAGTGGCCAAATAAAACACTTAGCATAAACCGAATGGAAAATGTGCAAAACATTCTCCTGAAATCAGAAAATCAGACTTGAATAAGAGGAAAGGTGTCCCTTGTTTGGGGCACAGATGTGACATTCATGAAAGACTGCAAGTTTACATTTACATTTAGGGTGATTCCAGTGACTCCTAACACTTTTAGAGCTAGACAAGATAATTCTAAAGTTCACCAGGTAGCGGTAGGGGGCCCCTAAGCATGCAAAAATACCTGAGGGGGAAAAAACAGCTGAAAAAGAGGAGCAAGGGGCTGGTTCCAATCCCAACTACGTGGACAGCCTCCCCTCCACCCAGAAAAATTTACTTCACAGTACAGCACTGAAGCTATAATTCAGGGAGAGGGACATGTCTGATCAGAGCACACGGGAGCAAATGAAGGGGGAGGAAGAGAGAGTAGAGCACATCCTGTCCCACCAAGCCTTGAGGACAATATCCCTGCTCAGAGCAAGCAATGCACAGAGAGAACCATATGGCCAGCCCCACTACAAGGCATGACATCCCTTACTGACCCATAGCACTACGGGGGACAACACTGGAGACAGTGTGGGAATTATGCCCAATCTGACCCCACCACACCGAGGCAAGACACTAAGGGCATGCAACAGAGCAGCAAGGGGAGCAGAGCAAGGAAGTCCCGAAGGAATACCAAAAATAGATTTTGGGGCCAGGGCATGGCACCCCATCAGACTCAACCAGAAAACACTCCTAAAGGTCAACAAACAGACCTTGAACTATTTATATATATCTAGATAAGAGAGGCAGGATAAACAATCTGGAGGAGTAAACAATAGGACTTAGGAGGGGGTTGGGAAGGAAGTAGTATCAACAAACCCAAGGACAAGGGGACAACAGATGATCCAAAAGCAGTGGCGAGGAGGGTGTAAGAGGCCTGGTAGGGCTTGATCAAGGACAATGTAACCAAGAGGAATTACCAAAACCCAAATGAAGACTGAGCATGATAGTGGGACAAGAGGAAAGTAAAAGGAAATACAGGAAGGAACTAGGAGGCAAAGGGCATTTATAGAGGTCTAATTACAGGCATTTATATATGTAAATATATTTATATAAAATAATAGGGAAATAGATCTATGTGCATCTATCTATAGGTTTAGTATTAAGGTAGCAGATGAACATTGGACCTCCACTCAAGTACTCCCTCAATGCAAGAACACTTTGTTCTATTAAATTGGCATTAAAAAAAACAATAAATAAA